GCGGTTAGGGCACGCGATTAGGGCACGCGATTAGGGCACGTGACTAAAATATATATATATGATTAGCTGAGGTGATAATTAGAGATAGATAAAAATATTAGGAATAGATGGCGCAGAATAATAAATATAAAAACAATTAGAGATAGGTTCCTCAAATCTCGAATAATTTTAGTCAGGAAATAGGATTGTTAAGGCTATTAAGTAAAATCATTAGAATTTTTCTATTGATATTAGAGTTGATAGGGCTTTTAAGATCATTAGAATTCTGTAATAGTAGGATTATTAGGGCTATTAAGTAAGACTCATTCTTTCTTTTAATATTCCAATAATCCTAATTAAAATTATTTTAATTAAGTTGAATTTATTTTTAAAAACGTTGTAAAAATATATATAACATAAAGGTAAAAAGTTATTTGAAATTTAATCGACTAACTAGCCAAGTTTAAAATCTTTATTTTCTATAACATTTCGACCATATGGTTGTGGTCCTTTTCATGTATGATTGACTGATCTTGTTTCATATCGACATAACGTGTTATTAATAATATGTATTTAATATGGGCGCTTTTTAAGGTACACTCTATATATTGTACGTAATATAATTCATAATCAAATAGATTTTTATCACGTATCACGTTTGCGTTTATATAATTTATATTGAATTAAATAAGTTTTTATCGTATATTACATTGCGTCTAATGATTTCATTTGTAATTCAAATATAATATTTTATTATAATATATATTTAAAATATGTTCAAATGCTTTAAACAAATATGTTTATTGTAAATTAATACTTTGCAGTAGAAATTGCTTACGAGATACTATTAAAGTCATAGATAGCAGAAATTTTTGTAAATATGAAATGAGTCTTGGGAGAGAGGGGAACAAAAGTATTGCAGAATATTACTATTAATCATTTGTTCCACCGAAGATAATTACATGAATGTTAAATTATCCAAATATATTTTATAATCAAAAGCCAAATCTTATACAAAAAGATAATTAATAAAAAGAAAAAATTTTAAGCTAAACAGAAAGAATAAGAAAAATAAGAAGAGAATATAAGAATATAAGAGAATATAATAGAAACAAAATATATATAGAAGTATTTTTTATATGTATAATATTATATTAATAATATATTAATATTATTATATTATATTAATATTATATAATTTAATAAACAAATAATATAAATTTAATTACTATAAATTTAATAAATTAATATATTAATTTATATTAATTATTATATTAATTATTATTATTATTTAATTATTATTATTATTTAATATATAAATTATTTTATATCATTAATATATTATTTTAATAAATTAGTATTAAAGCAGTATGTTTCAAAATGTTTGTTATATTATATTATATATTATATTATATTATATATACTATAAAGTAATTGTTTTAATATAACAATTTTTTTACAACTCTGATACAAATATGTAATATAAAAACTGCAAAAATGTAATACAGTCATGCATTAAAATAAAACAATGTCGCCTGTTATTTTGGCTGCTGGCTTAATAAGAAGAATAGAATATTGTTTGAATGAAACAATATAGATGTTCTTCTCTGCTATCCGAAATTAGACAAAGCGCCGATATCACACATATTTTTGCTTACGTATTTTGTCACGCAATCTTTCATTACAGTTTGCGTCTTGATCTTAGCATTATTACTGACTTAACATAATTTACATATATCGACCTTAGAATCACTATTTTAAGACTGTGCGCCTTCATTTGTATTTAGAAAGTCACTTTACGCATTAAAAGTGTGCTCACCGTACATAATCTTTAATTAATAAATATATTTTTCCAGTGACTTAAATAAGATTATATCATATTTATATCAGTAAAAAAAAAGATAAGACAATTAAGAGATTTAGTTACAATCTCATTGTGAAAATAGGTGAAAAATTTGTAGCTTCTCTATATATGAATAATAGTTTTGCTAATGTCAATGACACCCTAGTAGCACAAAACATTGGCAAAATATTGGTATACCTTGGTTATGACGTAAATGTAAATATGTGCTAATATTGCACGTTCATACATTCATACATTATATGTGACCTTCGCGCGTCGCCTATGTAGCGAAAAGGAAAACACATAATCTGAGAGTGAAATTCCACCAAAAGCAGTATATAAAGCCGCGGCACACATAACGACTTATTAGTTAAAGAGTGCGGACTATTATAGCCGTATCTCCTCTAGCTTTTGCGAGGAGCTCCAGAACTTCATAAATTAACCAGACGGTTAATTTTTTTTTTGGTGGCGAATTCCGTTCATATATTAGAAACTGACCTATATCCAACGTAAAAATATTTGGGTATGTATAATTATGTTATCATTTTGAGGCAAGTAACAGTTATTTAAGTTGTTTGTTATAATTTCATGTAACAGTATTATATATATATATATATATATATATATATATATATGTATGTATGTATAATTTTCATCACATTCCATAGCTAGCTTGATTAATTTATTCATAATTTACAGGAAAAATTTGTTGTTACTTATTGTTAATAGTACATGCCTAGCGCACTTTATTGGAGCAATATTGACTAACAATATATATATTCGATATTTCCAATGTTGGTTCAATATTGCTAAGTAGACGCGATTTCATTTTGAGTCAATATTGAATTATAATATTGGATGAATATATTATTTTCATCTTTAACCAATCTTGGTCAAAGATGAAAATAATATATTCATCCAATATTACAATTCAATATTGACTCAAAATGAAATCGCGTCTACTTAGCAATATTGAACCAACATTGGAAATATCGAATATATATATTGTTAGTCAATATTGCTCCAATAAAGTGCGCTAGGCATGTACTATTAACAATAAGTAACAACAAATTTTTTCTGTAAATTATGAATAAATTAATCAAGCTAGCTATGGAATGTGATGAAAATTATACATACATATATATATATATATATATATATATATATATATAATACTGTTACATGAAATTATAACAAACAACTTAAATAACTGTTACTTGCCGGGTGTATATATAATTTAATATGTATATATATATATATATATATATATATATATATATATATTAAATTATTTATACACCTTTAATATATACACATTTAATATACACATTTAATATATATATATATATATATATATATATACATATTAAATTATATATACACCCGGCAAGCAACAGTTATTTAAGTTGTTTGTTATAATTTCATGTAACAGTAGTACATATATTTCATGTAACAATTATATTATCGAGTGGAAAATTATAACTAACAATTATATAACTATTACTTGGTGCTTGCTGGGTTTATATATACAGGGTGTATCACAGCGACCATAACAACAGTTTTTTGAGAAATCTAAGCATTTTAGAGAAAAATGTTTCATACAAAAGTTGTAGGGCTTAAAATAACCTATTTAATGATCGTATCAGTTTGAATAGCACCACCAAGGTCACATAAAAAATACTTTGTTTTTAAGAAAAATATGAAATTGTTAATTGTAAATTACATATTTTTTTTTTAAAACAACTATTTTTTCTTTACACCAATTGATTTCTCTCATTATTTTGTATATAAAAGTATTAAGGTAAGATAATAAAAAAATGAATATTTTACAAGATATTTTATGGATTATGTAAAATTAAGAAATTATTTCAAGCCTCATAACTCGAAAAGTACTCAATGAAGAAATACTTTGTTATAGTGTTTTGGAAAGCTCTCGAGATAAGCTATAAGAATAGGTAATAAAAAGTGGGGGGTTCCATTTAAAAAAATGGAGATGACCTTGAAATCTCTGAAGCGCCTCCCTCTACAAAAAAATTATTAGTAGCTTATTAGGATTCTCTTGGTCCCGTACAACTTTTATAAGTACAAAAATTTTGCATCTCTAAAAATAACGGAAATATTGCAGGTGGACAGAGTTATTGGTTCACCCTGTATATATATATATATATATATATATATATATATATATATATATATCAAAAAAGGTCCAGATCTTTTAATATATCAAAAAATACCTATTCTGGAAAAAAATGTTCCATTGCAAAAGTTGAAGGGTTTCAAATAGCGCATTATATATAGTAATATTAGTACCTTGAATAACATTGTCAAGATCATGTAAAGATCATATCGAAATTTTCAAATAGAACCCTTCATCTTATTACATATTCTTATAGTTTACTAAAGAGCTTTTCAAAAGACTTCTTAAAAACAACTATGTATTTTTTTACATCAATTGATTCCTCTCATTATTTTGTGCATAAATAATATGCGTTATTAAGTATTGAAGTAATACCATAAAAAATTGAATATTTTACAAAATAAAAATATTTTATTGAAGTAATATCATAAAAAATTGAATATTTTACAAAATAAAAATATTTTACAAAATATTTTATACAGTTTTATATTATATTTAAAAAAATATTTTAAGCCTCATAATTCGAAAAGTAAAAGAAAAATGAAAGAAAGATATTTTATTGCAGTGTTTTAAAAAGTTATCAAATAAAGCTATAAGAATATTATAGCTTATAGTATTAAAAAATGAAGAATTTTAAAATTTTTAAAATTTCAAGATGAGCTTTACATGATTTTGACAGTCATTCAAAATAATATTATTATTATAAATATAATGCACTATTTAAAACTCTACAATTTTCGTGTAAAATATTTTTTTCTGAAAATGTGTATTTTTCGAAATATTAAGAGACCTCAATCTTTTTTAAACAGTTGTACACACATATATATATACACACATACACGTATATATACTTATTATTTTTTTAAATATATCCTGCAATATATTTTTTTCAGATGACGGATCGATTTTATCAAAAATCAAATTAGGATTATTTTATTTCATGTTAATTGATGAAATCGATTAAAAGTTAATTGACCAATTTAAATAGAAACTAACCAATTTAAGTTTAAAATTAATAAAAGATTTAAAATCGTAAACAGTATGCAATTTGAAAAATTAGCCTTTTTCAATAGATTCGGATGTCAGAAATTACAGCAATTGTTTGCAATTATTCTTGCTTATCTCTTTACTCCGTTGATTCTTGTCATTTTGAATTTCTTATATATCTATCATTGTCTGATCGAAATCATTTTAAGAATACAATTCAAAGATAAGTTTATTGGTTTTTTGAAAGGCACAGATTGTGTATGGGCTAATGAAGAAGCTGTTTATTTTTCCGTTATTAATATTTTAATAATAATAGAAAAAACCGAGCAAAACTCAAACGTGATTTTTTTAGAAGGTTTGAAGAATCTAATACATGATCGTATAATTTCAAAGGCTACTGGTACAATATTTGAAAAATTTTTTTATCGTCGAAGACAAAAGTTTGGTTACTACTATTGGGAGCGAAATGAAGAGATCGATTTAAATAATAGGATCAGATGGCTAGAATGCGAGAACGCTGATTGCGATGGATCTTGTGAAGATGTATCTAGTGAATTCTTTAAGAAGAATTTAGGAAGCATATGCAATAAAACATTGCCCGATGATCACACAGCCTCTTGGGAGATTCTGGTCGGAAAACGTTGTTCGAGAGGTAGATCTCGCATCGACAGTCATTCGGCTCCCGAAGAATGCTTTGACACCGATACTTGCAAGATTCCTGTAATAATTCGCATTCATCATTCTCTGGGCGATGGAATATCTCTCCTAAGATTTTGTTTCAAAACGATTTTTGATGAAGACAAGACGAAAGTAAAAATCGAAAATATATCGATTAATGCGAATAAAACAAATTTCAAAGAGCTTGTTTCACCGTTGCGTAATTCGGAAAAAAGTCTTATGAATGGGACAAGAAATTTGAATGAGAAAATTGTACGATATTTGTCTTATATACGAAAATTGTCTTATAAAAAGAATATTTTCGCCGTATCTATGTCTTTGACAACACTGTCACGAGTTTTGAAAAATTTGCGAGGCCACTTTCTTGTGTTATTGAAATATTCTAAGACTACAACAATCGATTCTCTAAAACGGCAAGCGAAAATATCAATCAATCATAGATTGAATTTCAAAGATTATCTGAAACAAGTATACGAAAAAATTAAAGAAATCATGCATTTGACAATGATCATCCTTTTGATTCCAAAATGCATAATTAAACAGACTTGTAGTATAGACAAAAAGTACATATATATATTCAATATCTGATTATTTTATAAAAAAGGATAAGCTAAAATAAATATTTCCAGTTTTCGAAAAATTAAGATAATTTTATATAATAAAGTTTTTCATTCAAATTTTATCATATAAAATTTTTAATTTATCTAATAAAATAAATTTTATATATCTAGAATAAAATAAGTTTTACAAAATAAAATAAGTTTTATCTTAATAATATATATTAAATAAATATATATTATAGCTCTCTACATGGTCCATCACAAACAGGTGAAAAGATCATATCCTATTGGTTAGACGATGCTATTGACAAATCACAAAAGCTTTTTATGAAGGTTCGCGAAATAAAAAAAAGAACAAATACCAGATTTGAAGATGTAGTATTAACAGCTTTTTCTACTAGTGTACACAAGTATCATTTACGGGTAAATATATGTATATGTTTTTAAATTAAATAACATAAGTCCAGAAAATATTTAAAATACGCCTAAAATTATACTTGAAAAATTGACGCTTTTGCACAATTAAATTAATAGACTATATTTTTTCTTTATCGCACATGTAATGTTTCTGCCTTGCAGATTAATAGACCAGCACCCGATTCATTAACAATCGTTTTACCGATAAGAATAACAATGCCTGATGAATATATAATGTTCGATAACAATTATTCTATTGCTCGTCTACGAATTTCCATTTCCAAGGTGAATGGACAAAAGATCAGCGAGCCAAATAAAGATTCTCAATTTTTTAAACGTCTTCAGGATATTACAAAAGAAAATAATGAATTCAGAAAATGTTCGGACATATTAATTAATTTTTGGGTTATGAAATATTTATTCACGATATTGCCAGCAAAAATTTTGAAACTTTTTCTATTATGTCCAAGCACTATGATATTCAGTAATATATGTGGACCAGAAAAATTTCATACTCTCAATAATTACTTAGCAAGCAATCTTACCTTTTGGCTACCAAACAAGTATTGCATCTCATTATTCTATTTTTTATTGGAATAAATAGAAATAAGAAAAATTATAACAATAAAATTATAAAATATGACCTACAATTTATTTTCAGGGGTACAACTGCTCTCGGTTTGTCTCTGATTGGTTATGGAGGCAATTTAAATCTATCTTTAATAGCTGATAAATCAATAATAAATGATGAAAAAGCTTTAATTGAAATTTTAGAAGATACTGTGCGTGAAATAAATCATGCATACAAGAGTATCATGTAATTGATGTGTTTTTGAAATCATCAAATTTTTGAAGAAAGAAACATCCATGGATCAGGTATACTATGAGAGAGTAAAGGAGAGATTTAATCTAGATTTTTAATATATTGATATTTTTAGGTATCAGTGAGGTTTTAAAAAAAATTATAGGCGACTGTTATTTTTTGTGGAAAAAATATTCACTCCTTTTAGACACTTCTTTAAGACAGAAGTTAACGATTAAATATTAGTTTCATAAAATTTAACGATTACTCTCGATATTATAGAATCGCGAGTTAATTATTATCAATTTAATTTCTTTAATTATAAAAATTATATTTGTGTATTTACGAATTTCGTATCAGAAAATATTCATAATTAAATTACGATTGCAGAAACTCTGTTGTTTGTTGTTTTAATGAATCATTGTTGTATCTTTCGTTATGTAAATGTTAATGAAATTTGCGTAGCTCGTACCGTCCAGGAGTCGAAACAATTTTCATCATGGAAAATTATTTCTCATCGGTTCTTGTAAGATCCATTCGTGACGTTTAGTTCGGTGCTCTGTTAAAAATTGAAGATTTTTATTGTAAGAATGGAATTAATCATATGTTTTTTTTGGTTATTTTTCAAAGCAATGATTTCGGTAGTAATTCAACGACGAATGCCATATGCTTCTTTAACATCTAATTAATTTAAATAAAATATATTTAGATGAGAGAGAGAGAGAGAGAGAGAGAGAGAGAGAGAGAGAAATGTATCTTTTCTTTTCTTCTTAAAAATGTTCTGTCATTATTAGTATTGTTATTATTATTGTCTAATGCAAGAAAGATTTAATAGTAGATTGGAATATGGATATAGTTATTGTGTATAAATTTCTACTTTTCAAGTAATTTCATATTGTAATTAATTTTTATTAATTTTTTGATAAAAATGATTACAAACGAATATATTTTTTAATTCATATAATTTATCTCTTTTGAAAAATTATTTCTAGGTACTGGGGATATTAACATTAATTTTTTGTTTCTTTTAAGAAATTATTTGCAGATATTGGACATCCATCGCCATTTTGAAACATTAGTTTTTATATTGAGAAAAATATCCGGTGAAAAGGTAACGAACGGATATTATATCGATCACTTTAATCGGCAAAAAAAGAAACTGATCAAATATCCAATCAGAAAATCGATCAATCGAATATCTGATCAGAAAGTTCAAAATTCGGAACTTTCCGATCAGATATCCGATTAAAGTGATCGGTATAATATCCGTTCGTTATCTTTTCATCGGACGTTTTTCTCAATGTAGATACTTACCATTTTATATGTATATATGAACATGTTTTCTGATGTAAATATCAATTTCGTGAATCGAAGATAATGACGAGGAATAATTGTCGTTGATTTATTACTGAAATCATTGGGAATAGTTCGGAAGATCCGGGATTCGTTCACTTACAGTGAAATTTCCGATGTTCAATGGATCACTTAACTTTTCTTCGCCGATGATCTTGCGAAATGTGATGTAGAAACATGATTTTAATCGTTTTCCATTTTTAAGATCGTTTTTCTTTTTATCGAATATTACCGGTATGTCACTTGCGTAACTGATGGTTTTTATTATTATATTATAAAAAGTACGCAATTGAATATTTTGAATATTATCGATTTATTTATTCGTCGCATTTTATCACGAATTTTATAAATCGCGATTTATCCTATAATTTAATATTTTCTTATAATTTAATCGTTGACATACGTAGAAGCTTTGTCTATATTTTCGCGTGTTTAAATATTTTCTTTAATAGTCTGCGCGAAATGCGCTAGTAGTGTAAATATATTTTTTTCTAGAATTAAAAGACAATCGATAACTTTATTAATGACTATTTTAATCGCGATTGTTTACACTATATAAATCATATTAAATTCTATTATTACATCGATTATTAGAAGGACTTTGATAAAATCATTCAATTCTCTTTTAAACTTAGCGATAACGCGATTTTTTAATTATATTTTAAAGCTTATAAAGCTTATTTTATTTTATTTAGCTAATCATGCGCGAAATAGGATATGTATTTTATTCTCAATTGTGAAATTCGTGTATACAGGGTCGCAGACCACCCGTATCAGCCGAATATCTCAAAAGTGAACGCGGCAGACAAAAATATTTCAGACAAAAGTTGTAGCTTGAAGGAAGACATAAGATGGTGCCATTAGTTTGACTTTGAAGAGTCATCCTGAACGTCACGTGAACGTCACCACCAATTTTTTAAATGGGACATCCTATATATTTTTAGATATTCTTGTTGCTTGCCTCAAGAGGTTTCCAAAACACTATAATAAAGTATTTTTTCATTGAGTACTTTTCGAGCTATGAGGCCTAAAATAATATGTTAATTTTACATAAACCATAAAATATCTAGCAAAATATTCATTTTACGATTATCTTACCTTAATACATTTATGCACAAAATGTGAGAAATCGATTGGTGTAAAGCAAACACATAATTGTTTCGAAAAAAAAATATATAATTTGCAATTAACAATTACATATTTTTTCTTAAAAACAACTGTGTGTTTTCTTTATCAATTGATTCTTATCATTATTTTGTACATAAAAGTATTAAAGTAAGATAATAAAAAAATGAATATTTTAGACTCTTCTGATGACTCTTTTGATTACGATTATTTACATTACATAAAACTTATTAAATTCTATTATTGCATATCGATCATTAATATGATAAATATTAAATTGGATAACTTAACATTCATGTGTTAATATATTAATTTATATTAATTATTATATTAATTACTATTATTATTTAATTATTATTATTATTTAATATATAAATTATTTTATATCATTAATATATTATTTTAATAAATTAGTATTAAAGCAGTATGTTTCAAAATGCTTGTTATATTACATTATATATATAGTATATATATATATATATATATATATATATATTATATATATATATATATATTATATATATATATATATATATTATATTATATATATACTATAAAGTAGTTGCTTTAATATAACAATTTTTTTACAATTCTGATATAAATATGTAATATAAAAACTGCAAAAATGTAATACTCTCATGCATTAAAATAAAACAATGTGGCCTGTTATTTTGGCTACTGGTTTAATAAGAAGAATAGAATATTGTTTGAATGAAACAATATAGATGTTCTTCTCTGCTATCCGAGATTAAACAAAGCGCCGATATCACACATATTTTTGTTTACGTATTTTGTCACGCAATCTTTCAATACAGTTTGCGTCTCGATCTTAGATTAGTTATTGACTTAGCACAATTTATATATATCGACCTTCGAAACTATTTTAAGACTGTGCGCTTTCACTTGTATTTAGATATTTATTTATTTCTGTTTTACATATATCGACCATAAAATCATTATTGCATCACTATTTTAAGACTGAGCCTTCACTTGTATTCAAAAAGTCACTTTAAAAGTGTGCTCCCCGTACATATCCTTTAATTAATAAATATATTTTTTCATTGACTTAAATGAGATTACATCATATTTATATCAGTAAAAAAAAGACAATTAAGAGATTTAGTTACAATCTCATTGTGAAAATAGGTGAAAAATTTGTGGCTTCTCTATATATGAATAATAGTTTTGCTAATATCAATGACACCCTAGTAGCACAAAACATTGGCAAAATATTGATATACCTTGGCACAATATTGGTTATAATGGAAATGTCTTGGCCAATATTTGTATGTAAAACTAATGATTATTAACAAAATGCAAGTGTTCAGCAAATATTATAGTGCCCATGATGACCAATATTGACTAAATGAATATAAATGTGTTGCCAATATAGTTGCATCCATTATAATATCAATATTGGTTATGAAGTAAATGTAAATGTGTCTCAATATTGCACGTTCACACATTATATGTGACCTTCGCGCGTCGCCACTATATAGTGAAAAAAAAAATACATAATCTGAGAATGGGAGTCAATATAAAACCGCGGTACACGTAACGACTTATTAGTTAAAGAGTGCGGACTATTATAACCATATCTCCTCTACCTTTTGCGAGGAGCTCCAGAGCTCCATAAATTAACCAGACGGTTAATTTTTTTTTTTGATGGCGAATTCCGTCATATATTAGAAACTGACCTATCCAACGTAAAAATATTTGGGTATGTATAATTAGCCAATCTTGGTTAAAGATGAAAATAATATGTTCATCCAATTTACAATTCAATATTGACTCAAAATGAAATCGCGTCTACTTTGCAATATTGGACCAACATTGGAAATATCGAATATATTGTTGTCGAATATATCGTATATAATGTATTGTATATATTGTTAGTCAATATTGCTCTAATAAAGTGTGCTACTAGAGCATGCACTATTAACAGTAAGTAACAACAAATTTTTTCTGTAAATTATGAATAAATTAATCAAGCTAGCTATGGAATGTGATGAAAATTATACATATATATATATATATATATATTAAATTATATATACACCCAGCAAGTAACAGTTATTTAAGCTGTTTGTTATAATTTCTCATGTAACAGTATTATATATATTTCATGTAACAATTATATTATAGAGTGGAAAATTATACCTAACAATTATATAACTATTACTTGGTGCTTGCTGGGCTTATATATACAGGGTGTACCACAGCGACCATAATAGCAGTTTTTTGAGAAATCTAAGCATTTTTTGAGAAATCTAAGCAAGAGAAAAATGTTTCATACAAAAGTTGTAGGACTTAAAATAATCTATTTAATGATCGTATCAGTTTGAATAGCACCATCAAGGTCACATAAAAAATACTTTGAATTTGTTACTTACTGTTAATAATACATGCCCTAGTAGCATACTTTATTGGAGCAATATTGGCTAACAATATATATCCAATATTTCCAATGTTGGTCCAAATGCAGATACATATACATATATATATATATATATATATATATATATATATATATATATATACAAGGTGTTAAAAAATTAAGTGCCATAAATTTGTGTGATGAAAGAAGGAATCAATATAAGCATTTTAAGTATAGGAACCGTGGGTCGGCGACGCTTAGTTACGACGTGACAAGGGTTTAATTAAATTGTCACAATGTCTGCAATACAATGATTTTATTCGGTTAATTTTAGATGTTTATAATAAATGTTCGAAATTACGACCGCCAACGTTCCGACAAAAATCAGAACGACGGAGCAATGATTCCCGCGTTCTTTGGAATATTCCAGGAGTTTGTCGGATAGTTTCAGACACCTCAACGATACGAGCGACCAGATCCTCCTCGGATTCAACCGGTTCGGAATAAATCATATTTTTCATTGCATCCCAGAAGTAGAAATCGAGAGGCGTCAAATCTGGTGACCTTGCAGGCCACGCCACAGGTCCATCCCGCCCGATCCATCTGTTGCCGAAAGTCTTGTCACGCCGTAACTAAGCTTCGCCGACCCACGGTTCCTATACTTAAAATGCTTATATTGATTCCTTCTTTCATCACACAAATTTATGGCACTTAATTTTTCAACACCCTGTATACAGAGTGGACCAATAACTCTGTCCACCTGGAATATCTCCATTATTTTTAGAGATGCAAAAATTTTGTACGTATAAAAGTTGTACGGTATCAAGAGAGCCCTAATAAGCTACTAATAATTTTTTTGTAGGTGGAGATGCTTCAGAGATTTCAAGGTTCAGGATAAGCTATAAGAATAGGTAATAATAAATGGGGATTCCATTTAAAAAAATGGAGATGACCTTGAAATTCTGAAGCGTCTCCACCTATAAAAAAATTATTAGTAGCTTATTAGGGATCTCTTGGTACCGTACAACTTTTATAAGTACAAAACTTTTGCATCTCTAACAATAACGGAGATATTCCAAATGGACAGAGTTATTGGTCCACCCTGTATATATATATATATATATATATATATATATATATATATATATATCAAAAAAGGTCCAGATCTCTTAATATTTCGAAAAATACCTATTCTCGAAAAAATGTTCCATTGCAAAAGTTGAATTGCGCGCGCTATTTCAAATAGCGCGAGCATTATATTATATATATATATATATATATATATATATATATATATATATAATAATAATATTAGTACCTTGAATAACATTGTCAAGATCATGTAAAGATCATATCGAAATTTTCAAATAGAACCCTTCATCTTATTACATATTCTTATAGCTTACTAAAGAACTTTTCAAAAGACTTCTTAAAAACAACTATATTTTTTACATCAATTGATTCCTCTCATTATTTTGTGCATAAATAATATGCGTTATTAAGTATTGAAGTAATACCATAAAAAATTGAATATTTTACAAAATAAAAATATTTTATTGAAGTAATATCATAAAAAATTGAATATTTTACAAAATAAAAATATTTTACAAAATATTTTATACAGTTTTATATTATATTTAAAAAAATATTTTAAGCCTCATAATTCGAAAAGTAAAAGAAAAATAAAAGAAAGATACTTTATTACAGTGTTTTAAAAAGTTATTAAAAAAAGCTACAAGAATATGTATTAAAAAATGGAAAATTCTTTTTAAAATTTCAAGATCAGCTTTACGAGATTTTGACAGTGTCATTCAAAAATAATATTACTATTATAATATTACTATTATAAATATAATGCACTATTTAAAACCCTACAATTATCATGTAAAATATTTTTCTTTGAAAATGAGTATTTTTCGAAATATTAAGAGACCTCAATCTTTTTTAAACAGTCTGTACACACACACATATATATATATATATATATATATATATATATATATATACACGTATATATACTTATTATTTTTTTAAATATATCCTTTAACATATTTTTTTCAGATAACGGTGCGATTTTATCAAAAATCAAATTAGGATTATTTTATTTCATGTTAATTGATGAAATCGATTAAAAGTTAATTGACCAATTTAAATAGAAATTAACCAATTTAAGTTTAAAATTAATAAAAGATTTAAAATCGTAAACAGAATGCAATTCAAAAAATTAGCCTTTTTCAATAGATTCGGATGTCAGAAATTACAGCAATTGTTTGCAATTATTCTTGCTTATATGTTTACTCCGTTGATTCTTGTCATTTTGAATTTATTATATATCTATCATTGTCTGATCGAAATCATTTTAAGAATACAATTAAAGGATAAGTTTATTGGTTTTTTGAAAGGCACAGATAGTGTATGGGCTAGTGAAGATGCTGTTTGTCTTTCCATTATTAATATTTTAATAATAATAGAAAAAACCGAGCAAAACTCAAACGTGATTTTTTTAGAAGGTTTGAAGGATCTAATACATGATCGTATAATTTCAAAGGCTACTGGTACGATATTTGAAAAATTATTTTATCGTCGAAGACAAAAGTTTGGTTAC